ATACCACTTGTTTCCCAAAGAGCTCAAAGTACCTCATTAATCCTCAACATAAATGGCAAGAGAACTTAAATCGTCACCAGTCATCCCAATAGGTTCTTAACCCTAATGATAAACAGAAGTATATCCATATCCCCACTGATTAATAATAGTATTTTTATTCTCCTTCTCATGGGTATGTTAATCTTAAGTGGCAAATTGACATTGAGTACATATTAGGTAAACTTTCATAATCTGTTCAATGCAACATTTTGCAATGATTATTTGGCAGAAATATTTGCCTCTACTAAAGTCATTCTATGATGCCTCAACATGGCCTGGAGGTGACTGTGGGTTTTTAAGGGATGTGCCAGTAGAGTGCAAGCTCTGGCAGGTCCTGCAAAACTGAAAAGGCTTTGAGCTTGGACCTGGCAATGCACTCCATCCTTGACAAGCACAGACCAAATTAGTCAAGTTCAGAGACACTCAAAGGTGATGAATTATTTCAACCACAGAAACTCATGGGATCTTTTCCTAAAGTGGGATTACAGTGTCTGGCTTCAAATCTAGAACTTCACATGCTGTAGCCTCACTCCTCAGTACCCATCCCACAATTTACTTGGTTTTATATGTTCACTCTTTAACAAATACACTCGGCCTATTTCCACCTCTCTAATTTGGCTTATGTTGTTGACTCAGTTTGAAATGCCCTTCCTCTTTTCCACCATTAACTCAATCCTGCCTGTCTTTCTAGGTTCAGTTCAAGTAGCACCTCCTGCGTGGAAAAAGACTTCCCCAGACACACCAGTATGCATTGTTTTATCTCCTTAACTTTCTACAACAGTCTATCTCATGCAAAATATGATAGACTCATAAGTTTAAAGCTAGAAGGAACCACAGAGAACTTCCAGTCCAAAGTTCTCATTCTACAATTGAGGAAACTGAAACTCATGGAGGGTAGATAACTTTTCAAAGTCACTCGTGTGACAATCACGTGTCAGAGGTATGATTTGAACCCAGGTCCGTCAAGCACAAAGTTAGCGGTCTTTCCGGTGTACCGTGTTGCTTCCCATCTTGATTACATTTGTGTCACTTAAATAATTTTGGAATGTTGATTCTCATCTCCTGAGCTAGGCCTTAAATTTCCTAGTATTTAGTGCTGAGCAAAAATTAATGATGACTGTCTGAAACTGTGGACACTACTTACCCTAGATTACTAGAAAAAGATATTTCCTCCACTCTATTCCAATGATACATGGAAACAGAAAGATTCAGGTCTGATGTGTCATGGAAATGATATTAATGACTAGTTTGGAAGAGACTTCTTCACATCCCATAATCTCTACTCCCCCCTCAAAAAAATGATTACAAAATCCATGATAATTGATATTCTAGTTTTATCTAGAAGACACAGTGTTTTAACACATTTTTTTTTCTTTTCTATAGCACTAGGTGACAAAATGCTGAAATATTTTCAAAAACGTAGCAAGGGATTGTTGCATCTCCTACGTGATGACAGAGAGATATTTCACTAAAATTCATTTCATTACTGTAATTATTGTTATATTGTGATTGTTTTGCCTTGTATGTACTCCTTCCTCACCTTCATCTCCTTTAACTCCTGTCTTCCTTCAAGGCACAGTTCAAGAATTGCTTTCTGCATGAAGCCTTCCCTGACCTTCCCAACCACTAGTGCCCTCCTTATCTCATTCAAGGACCCATTGTGAAGTTTTTTATTTATTATCTTTCATCTATTTATCTTCTATCTCTTCAAGTCTATCACCTATTTGCATCTAAAATTGTAATAATATACATATATATGTACTTATTTACTCCCCCAATAGATTGAAAGTTCCTTGAGAGTACAAATAATTTCACTCCTTGCATTTTAATCTCCAGCACCTACAGTAGTGACTGGCCAATAGACCACTAGCCATGTAATTATTAGTAAATGCCTGATGATTGATATATAACTTCCCTTCAAAATAAATCAATGAACTTTCACATGAGGCCAATTCTACGCAAAATTGTGAACTAGAGTCTCCTATTCACCCTGTTTTTCCCTCCTACTCCAAGATAGTGCTCTTTTGTCATCTAAGAGGTCTTTAGTTATATAGTACAAGGCTTTTGTCTTCAGCTCCCTCCTATTAAATGTTTTTATCAATAATCTGGATGAAGATCTAAAAGACATGGTTTTCAAAATTACAGATGCCACAAAGCTGGAAGATGAAAGTAATTCTTTGAATGTAGAATATCAGAAAGATTTTGCTTCATAAGAATAATTGGTGGAATCTAAGAAATGTAGTAGCTATAAAGCACTAAAATGTAAAAGATCATCTGTACAAATAGAGAAAGGGGAAAAACCTGACTCCATGGTATTTCAGGTGAGAAAGAGTTATGGTCTTTATTCAACTACAGACTTAATATGTTAACTATGTGATACAGCTGCCCTCCCCAAAAAGTGTCACCTTAAAGTCTTATCCATAATTTTATAGTGTCCAGGACATGGAAGACAATGATGTCATCATAATCATCCCTTATCAGTGGATTATTGTGTTCAGTTCCATATTTTATGGTACCATATTTTAGGAGAGATATTGACAAAATGGAACATGGCCAGAGGAAACCCTTTAGAACAGTAAATGGTTTGGAACAAGTACCACATGATTTTTTAAAATGAAGAAATAAGGGATGTTAAACCTACAGAACATTTTGGGAGTTGTTACAGCATCTAGGACTTTGGGGGAATGATTGTGGTCAATTCCACTTGTAACACATCACTACTGTCTTCATGCCAGCATTCCATTTCACGAATGTTCTGTAGAACTCTATTTCAAAACCAGAGATTAACTAACCTTAGGCTATATTTCTCCAGTTGTCATTGCTAGTTGATTTAGTCCTTGTTTCTTTCTTTGCATTGGATTATCATAGGAACAGCTAGATTTAGGATGCTTAGTTTTTACATTAAATGAATGAGTCTTTTCAGAAGTTTAGCTAAATCATTTTTATCTCTGTAGCACCTCTCAACCTTATACTCCCAGAAAGTTACCCCAAGTCTTAGGCATGTTGTAGCTGTCATTATTCTCCAAATGATAACTTATGGAACCCCATCAATGTATTTATTTTTACTATTCAAGCAGAAGACACACTTAATTCAGAAATACTTAATGAAATTGCGTAGTAATAACAGAATATTTTCCCATAAACCTTGAGCTCATTCTCCCACAAATACATATACCCTCAAGGGAGAGTTTGAATACGCTTGGGATCACTCATAGGTCATGTTTACATTAGGACCTTGCATGGTCAAGGAACATACTTGAAGGGGTATACACACACACAGAGAACTTACATGTCCAGAATACAAGCATGGAGAGATTACTCATGCCTCTGATCTATAGAACTGCTAGTGTCTTCTGGCCACATCTTTCATTCCTCACTGCTCCCTATCAAGTATGAATTTTTTGCTTCTGCCCATGAATGTCTCATTCTCTGCATCAGTTCATCTTCAGTGATCTAGTTACCTACAGTGACACTAAATACCCTAATATACACTGGAAATGTTATGATTCATAAAGATCTGCCACAAAGGGATGATCTACATCTCTTTCAGCCAGCTCATTCATACTCCCAATGGGCTTTTGCTATAGTCTTCAGTTCAAATGTTATTTTCAAAGTCAGCTGCTATCTTGTCCATCCAATGAGGGGTGCTGTGGTAACCAAGCCTCTCCTCTGAAATGGAGTATGATAGCTCTTCTCCATTCCTTCAACAAATCACAATAAAGCTCTTCCCCTTAGCCAGGCTATTCAGATTATAGCACATGCCCAGAATTAAATCTTATCTTATATTAGAAGAACCTTCCTTTAATATCTCCTCTGAATCCCTCAGTGTAATCCTTATCTGATATGATCATACACTCATTTTGGTCCTTATCATATTCCCTGGATGAGACATGTATTACCAGGGTGCTACTTCTTCAAAAAGACAAAGCAATGGTGTGAAACCACTGAGGAAACTTATTTTAAACTCCCTTTTCATATTACTCTGTTCCATAAAGGCAACAAGGGCTGGCTTGATTAGAAAAGACTGAAAAGTCTAATGATCTTTACCCAACTTTCCCCAACAATAAATCACATTCTGGTCTCTCTACTTCTATAACCCAACAACCAGGGTTGTGCTGGAGCTGGCTCCGTTTTCAGTATGAGCAAATACACCCCCAAAATCAGCAAATGCTGTACAACTGGGTTTGCTTCATTGTTTTGTTGATTATCTAGACTTGAGATTAGACTTGAGAAAGCGATGGAGAAAATATTAATAATGCAGATTAAATTTGAAAGTGTGCTGTACGTAATTTTTTTGGAGAGTCAGTTGTTAAATATTTACCAACATACGACTTGCTTTTCTTTTTATATCCCTAAACTTGTCATAGTGTTTTGCACATAATAGGTGATTACTGAATATTTTTCATTCATCTTCATGAACCCCAAAAAGAAATTATTTGACTTTTATTGAATAAAGTAAGCCTACGGTTCTAAACTTCTATTCCCCCACCTCATTGTCATAATCAATTTCCCCTCCCCTTAATCCTTCTCTCCCTTTTGTTTCAAAAGAAGGTATATCAAATACGGAAATGCTAGAGGAAGACACACATGCACATTTCTTTAAAAAGTTCTTTCATTAGGGTTCCTTTGGTTGTCATTCATTACATCCATTACTATAGCAATGAGATTGGTGAAACATTGATATATGCATTGTTTATTCACTAGCACTTTATGGCTTTCTGATTATACTGCTCTGTGTCATTGCATTCTATCCAAGGCCTGCTGGGAACATGATTTGAAGTTTTAAAGTACCAAGATATATTGAAAGCACAATGCTGTCAGTGTCCCCATGTTCCCCAGGTATCATTTTTATTTCCAGGAGAATGTAGCATTATTAGAAGCGTTGCCCTGGAAACAGGACATCAAACCAAAGTTCTTAGCACCCATCTCTGGCATTCTCAAGTTATGCATTAAGAATCCCATGGCAGTTTTTCGAAACAGGATGACCTCAGTGTCTCAGTGAACATTCCCTCTCTTGGAGAGCTACTGCTGTGTATCCAATGACTGCTGAATTTGCCTACAGGTAATACACTCCATGTGTTTAATCATTTGTATGCCAACTGCATAATTTACTGTTGAAATCCAAAGTTTTGCACAACTCTATTCTCAGGAACTACAGGTTGAGAGTTTGAAAAGTTGACTCAATCATTCATCCTCCTATGGTAGGCAAACAGAGGTCTCTTTAGTTGACTTTTTTAGTTTTACTTTTTTGTGTGGCTTCTTTATGTTATGCTATGTCTTGGGCTTCATTCTGGGGGCACAAAGGTTCATTAATGAGGATCCCTATTTTCAAATAAGTATACCTTCTTAAAAAAGCTAGGGATAATTATGGTCTGGGTGAAAACTTTTAGATTAAAAATAGACTTTTGACACAATTATGTTTTTGGATTGTTAAAAAAAGTAATTCCTTTTATTAAAAATTATTTTTATATAGGAAATATTTCTTTACTCAATTTTTTTCTACCAAAGGACAGGCTTGTTGTGTGAACATTAACATTTCCAAGAGTCCAGAGACAGATGAAAGTCGTTTCTTTAAAAATACACACCAGACAGTTTAAGTGATTGTTTTCACAATGTTTAGATTCAGTTCTTTGACGAACTGAAAAATGGAAATGACTCTATTATTACTTACAAAAATTACATGAGACAGAATTTTGAAGCCATTCTGGACTAACTGATCTTTTAAAAAAGGTTAGCCATAGATATATTGGTTGGAAGGAAGGGTATATTTGATCTTCTGAATTAGGAAGACAGCAAGTATTACCAAAACAACAGATGTTCCAATTGAGTCTCACTTTGTTGATTTTTAACTGAATCAACAAGCAAGCTTAGGTATTCTGATTGTTTCTGTTTCAGAACAATTATTCTCACAAAACAAACATATGTTTAACAAATGTTAACCTAAGTCACTCTTTTATTTATAAGTGGCATCCAGGTCAATGTAAAAATCTTAAATCTCAAGCTTTATATACTTCCTGTTTTTTCCTTACCAGAAAGGAAATGCAAATTTTCTTTTTTGTTCTTCCAATTGACAAATTATTTTTTTCTCAATTTAGAATGAATTAATGCCAAGAAAGCAAATATCCTTTCTATATTTGTAGTACTACTACTAAATGAGTTTTTGGTAATGATAAATCTAAGGTAAAAGTCATTTCTGTAAGTGCTTATTTCTAAAAAATTAGCATAATTGGCATTTTACAGAGGAATGATTGCTAGATGTCTAAGCAAAATTCTTTAATAATTAAGGTTTTACTTTGCTTCTAAAAATGACTATCACATGTTATTTAGTTGGAAGTTATGATCTGTTGGTGATGCTATCTTTTGGCTTCAACACATGCTACATTAATGTCATTTTTATAAAAGTTATTAATTTAAAAATTAAAAACCAGAAGAAACAATGATTTCTTTATTTAAGAAATGGTTTGTATCTATGTTATATAAGAGCAATGTGTAACATATATTATTTGTATAAAATTAATGAGTCAAATTCCTTAAAATACTGTATTTTTTTAAGTAAGTTACACATGATATCAAATGAAATAATATTTCTGAAAGCACTTAGCACAATTTTTGGCAAATAGTAGATTATTCCCTTCCCCACATGCATCCTGAATTGTATTTTATTTTAAAATGTGACTTATTTTTTTCTTTAGCAAGCCCTTTCTTCATAGACCTATGTTTTAGCTTTGGACAATAGCTTGTTCCTATCTTTCATTTCAGTGATTCTAATAATCAGTTAGAACCATCCCACAGCCATTTCAACCATAGTGGTCTGACAATTTATTTCAGCTAATTCAAATGATTGACTCAATCTAATCCTGGCCTCGTACACCATTCCATAGAGATGTTCTCTATCTGCCCCCCAAAATATAATACTCAAGTTAAAAAATCATTATATGAAACTCTAATTTGGGGAAGGAAAATTAATAACAAGTTTCATAAATTGTTTATAATTTATGAAAGTCATAGTATTCTACAGCAAATAGCACTTTCAAATAAACAAGATACCTATGTATTCCTCTTTATGTAACAAATCTACTTCTGGAAAGTTGTAGGTAAACAAATTCAAATTAATCATATTTTTTAAAGATAATAGGAGAGAAAACTATTTCAAATATTGCTATTATGAATCCCCAGTTAAGCAAAGTGTTCTTTGATAAGGTGAATAATGCCCTCCTCCCATTTGTCTTCAGTATAAATTTGACTTTCATAGTCAAAGGTTATTTAAAGCCAAGTACATAAAAGTTACCAAAGGAATTATAAATACAGATAAACATCTTTTAATATTATGTTATAAGGCTGTCAATTAAATGAAAATTATTTTGAAAAGACAGAAAAAAGATACCAGAATAGGTTACTAAACATTGAGAATCATTTTGAGAACTATTTTTTTTTAATTTACTTACATAGAAGAGTATTATTGAAATATTAAAAATAAATGTTGTCTTTTTCATATTTTAAGTATTCTGATAGCATAGAAGGACAAGTGGCTTTCATAACTCAATATTTGTTGCAGACTTTTAAAAATAGCAATAAATTAAATTAAAGTCTAATTTAAACACCTCATTTTACAAATGAAGAAACTGAGGTCTTATTTTATCTTTCAATAAACACTGATTAAAAGTGTGCTATATTTCAAGTTTTTCTAGGCACTAAAAATACAATGATGAATATGAAGTAATGCCTGCCTTCAAAAAGCTTATATTCTATAAGATAAATATGCAAAATAAATAAAAACAAGACACAGGTAATTGGGGAAGGGATGGGGGGGTGGAGATGAGATGGCAGCTGATCCTGGGATCAGAAAAGGTCTCATATAAGCAGTAGTGTTTAAGCTGATCTTTGAAGGAAATTTGAGATTCTAAAAGGTGGGGATGACAAGGAGAGCATGCAAAGCTTGGAACAAAGGCCCAGAGATCATAGATTTAATAACCTGTGAAAGGATCAGGAAGTAGGTCATTTTTGTTAGAGCTCGACCATAACTTGTGAAGTGAATTGATGTGTAATGTTTCTGGAAAGTTAGACAGGAGCCAAATTGGAATGTGCTTTAAATGTCAAATATAGGAGTCTGTATTTTACCCCACAGGCAAAAGAAAGCCAGTGGAGATATTTAAAGTAAGTAGACCAGTTAATTGAGAAGAACAGTGTAAGTGAGAAGTGATAATGGACTGAATTTGTGTGGTCACTAAGTGAATAGAGAATAGAAGATGGATGTGAGAGGTCAAAAAAAAAAACAACTTAGCACATAATTGAGTAAGGAGATGGGGGTGGGGGTAGAGAGAGGGAGGAACTGAGGTTAATTCTTAGATTACCAACATGGATAACTAGGAAAAAATAGTTATACACTTAATGGAAATAGGGTAGTTAGGGAAAGGAATGGATTTTGAGAAAAAGATAATGAATTCTATTTTTGACATGTTAAGTTTGACATGGGTGCCATAATACATGGTTAGAAATGTCTACTGCTGATATGGGATTAGAGCTCAGGAGAAAGAATAGGGATGAATTTACATTCTGATTGAATGACTGGGACAGAATTCAAATTTAGGTCTCCTGATTTCCAGGGCAGTTCTCTACCCAATTCATTGAACTACATCTTAATATTTTGATATGCTACATTGATTGAAAGTCATTGGCAATTTTTAAACCAGGATTAATGTGTGATAAAACAGTTAGAGCCAGAGGACCTGGGCCAAATTCCAGCTCTGCTATTGAACTATCTGGATAAACTTGGACAAATCACTTTCCTTCTGTGAACCTGTTTCTTCACTGATATGATGAAGTCTTTGAACTTCATCATCTCTTAGGTCACTTCTACCTCTAAATCTTAGAATCTTCTGGCCAAAGTGGAAAAGATTTCATTTATACTCTGTAATGCGTTGTTAGAATAATGTTATTGGGTGTTTCTTCTCGAGGAGTCATTTTTTCCACTTGCAATTCTATATATAAGTTTTTCCAAAATCAGTTACCCCTCCCACTACTGCAAGAGCATGGGCCTTATGCATCCAGATGTAGTAAAACAGGGTTAAGGAGGAAGACTGGAAATAATAATACTCCTCAGAGCTGGATTCATTCCTCCATATATTTGTAGTGCTGGAAGATGTTCAAAGGATTTTTTGTTATTAGGAATACACACAAGTTGCTTCTTATTAGTCAGGAATGTTTCTTTTCTTGGGCCAACTTCTTTTTCTCAACATTTACTATATATTCTGCCCACCCTTGAGGTGTCTAGGTAAATCTGAAGAACCTCCAGGTAGGGAGTTAAAGGTGTTGAAAGCATTAAGACCAGGAAGTCTGCTCAAGGTGAAGCAAATATTTTCCTAGTCATATAGACATCTACAAAGGCGAGAGTAAATACCAGTTTGTCAGATAGCTGAATATAAACTGGATACGTTGAATTTCTTATGGCTTATGAATATGTACACATGTATACATTTGTATAAGTGTTTATTCACACATATATATGTTTAGGTATAAATTAAGTATATGTGTGTATACAAGTATCTAAACATATATGTCATGGCCACTTCCTCTCGTTATGGGCTAGCTTGCTTACACCAACCTGTTTTCATACCAGCGGGTGTGGAATACTCAGAAATGGTCCTCAACCATGTGGTTAGGATTCAAATATTCTCAGCGTCTTAGGGGCAACTTTGCTGCAGGAAAGATGCATTCCAACTTTACCTCTTCAGCTCCCACCTGTGTGCTTCTCATTTACATAAAATCAATCACCATTAACCCAAACATAAACATATACTTAATAAGGCAAAAGCAAGAATAATAATAACATCACTGTGACTTAATATACAGCAAATGCAGGAATAATGGAGGTACAACAGTACACATATAAATTAAGGTCATGTTGTTCCACCAACATACATAGTAACTGTATAGGAGATTGAGCACAACCTTAGAGAAACCTACCAAGGAGGCACATAAGAAAAACTCTTGTTTGCATTAACTCAACTCTCTGGTCTACAGGCCTTAATCTTTTCAGGAATAGTATACCTCACATGAAACCAC